CAGGAAGAGATGTGTTTTATGTTTCCAGCGGCACCTGCAGTTTTATTTGGGGGTAAACAGATGAAATGGCTCAGGATATTCAGGAGATTTTAGCTCAGTATGAAAGATATCCCAGTGGCAAACACATAAATATTAAAGAGCGCTTGTGAAAAGGTATTTGTCCTTTTAAAAAAAACTTTTAAAATAAGGTTGCAATCCTCTAGAACTGATGCAGAGTCAGAGCAGGATGAAAATGTTTTGCATGACTGGTCCACAGAACGTCTCATTTTTCACATTTACAGGTTTTAACAAAGTTCTGCCTCAGAGGAGATGTGCAGAAAAAATTGATATTGCATGTTTAACAATATGGTCCAAAATCTTTTAAAATGGATGGTGAACATCAACAGATAATCAAATACATCTGCTTTAACAAACTAATACGGATTAACCTGGAAATGGTAACATTTTAACATAATGAGTTTCATTTATGGTACTAGAAAAACCTACAAACGATGAATGTAACAACACAAATAAATCTCTCTTTGGTTGTTTTGATACCACTAAAGGTCTTTCTGATGGAGAATTGCTTTTTATTGGAAATATATTTAAATATTAATAGAGTCCACTTACCTTCCCGAAGACCAAAAAAAGGGATAGCTGGAGGGGAGTCAACAGCCAGACCATTTTAAGAGGTGGACCCCAACTCTGCCCTGCCCTAGATATATCTCTGCTTCAGCACACCTGATTTAAATCAAGACTCTTCATCTCCAATTAAGTGCTGCAGAAGTTTGTAAATAATCTATTATTTTCTGGTGTGATGCAACATGGAAACACCTAAAACATGCAGAACAGGGGTCCCTGAGGAACAGGGTTGTGAACCATTGATTTATAGGACTACAGGTTTTAATGGTGATTTGATTTCTAGGGCAAGAAAATCTCTTCCTTGGCGCTTTTGTTTTCTTTTTATTTGTTCGATTAAAACACTAAACCTAATCAAATAAATATATACAATGATCAAGTATCAAGCTAGCTCTGATTAATCTTAAATAAGTCTGTATTAGGATGCATGGATATGAAAATGTGGGCCGATATTGATATCTGATATGACTAACCTTATGGCCAATAACTATATCATATGTACCATCATAATCAATGTCACATGAAAACTACTTCTATGGAAGTAAATATTGGGGTTTTAATATCAGACCTGCTTACCTGTTTATGGAACCATTTTATGTTTTTTTACCTTTTTTTGCTGTTCTGGTTTGTTTGTTACATTTGAAATGGTTTTGTTTGTTTTTCTTTTCAGTGACTCCTCTGGTCCTCCATACAGTGAGGCTAAATTTGAACCACTCTTCCACAGCAAAGTTAAACGCTTGTTTCTAGTGGTTAGAAATTTTTTGCTGCAAAAAAATGCACATTGTAGGTTGAGGAGATGCTTACATTTTTAGCAGACCAGATTTGTAATAATAAAAAAAAAAAGTATTTTAATGAAATATCAGAAAAATTGTATTTTAAAGCTGCATTTTTTTAGTTACTGTGGATATCTTTGTCTCAATATGATATGAATTGCATGATCTCAATGACCAAAAAGCTCATTTTATATATATATATATATATATATATATATATATATATATATATA